TATCTTTAAAAGGAAGTCTGCCGTTGACCTAAAATTGTTGTTACATCAAGCTTAAAGAATGTTTTATTGACTGTTGCAGTCACGTAACCGCCCTACCTGAATAACCTAGCCGCAAATGCGCGAAAACATTTCAAGTAATAGTTTATATTTTTATACATAAGCAACAAAACTAGGAGTAAACAGAGTAAAGACTTCAGTTCTATTTCAGGGCTGGTTTCTCTATAATTGCTATGGTAGCTCAAACTACTGGAGTTGTTTCTGCACTTGAGTCATGGCGATCATATTTATTAGGGCCTCTTCACATGAGCGCGGTTAAACGGGCTGGCCCGGTTACTAGGACCAATAGAAATTTCAGCCTGGTTTCCGAGACAAAAAAAGGCCAAAGATCGTGGGGACGAGTTGTGGTGGGAACTTTGAGAAACAAAGCAAGCATGACAAAACACAAAGATTTTATCTTTTGAGCCTACCATAGCTTAGGCAACCCATAAAGCTGTATTGCTGCAGTTAAATGGGATGCTTATGATGTGGAAAACACATACAGCAAGCAATGCAAGATGATGCCATCTGGGCTACCAGAATTCATCCCGGTAACCAGGCTGAAGTGTTCATATGGCAAAATCTTCAGCCCGCTCACCAAGATTCCGGTCTGAAAACTGAGATCTCAGGAACCAAGCAGGCTCACCCTCTCATATGAGCACATCAAAAATTTTACAAAGGATTTAGCGGAAAGGCAAGATCTCTGAAACCGAGCCAGCCTGGTCAACCAGTCTCATGTGAAGAGGCCCTTTGAAACCAACCTTTAATTTAATAAAACATCCACACAGGAAAAGATAGTACTTAAATCTAAGAAGGCAAGTTGATAAAACTGTCAGTAATAATCTTATTTTTTAATGAGCTTTATTAGTTTTACGTCTAGTTTTGCAGCTTATTTTTGCTGATAATGTTTTGCTTGGTGATTTGAACTCCTTTCAAACTGTGCAAAAGTCTCAGAATTGATAAAATCAAGAATGGTAAAGTAGGGGAAAGGTCAATGGTTTTCTTTTTTAAAGGAAGAAACTAGGCAATAAGAGCCAATAACTTTCATAGCTATATTTAATATTCTCAGTCATCATTTAAAGTAGCCTGTGAAAGCAGATGCCTTTTTCAGCCTTTGCTTTGACGTGCAAATTTTAAGTCAAAAGAGGTGTCTTTTCTTGTGGGCTAACTTTAAGCAGATTTGAGCAGGAAAGTGCTGGTATTCCAAGTATGGTAAGATTTTATCGACAAAATTTAGGTTATTATTATTAATTTATTTTTATTAAATACAGCTAATTCATAATAATGTAAATATTAATTACTGTCATTAATTTTTATAGTATCAATGTTATTGGATGTTATTAATAATATTATTAATTTATCAATATTATCGGAACCCAAGAGCACAGTGATAGGTGACACAGGAATAAAATATTATTACAGGTACTTTAGGCTGAATATATATGGTGGTGCAAAACATACTTGTTGTATACATATCTGATAAACTATATATTATTTATTGGGAGCAGTATTTTAATATAGACAACAAAATAATAATATTTACACACTGTACACTCCAGTGGCAAGTGAAATAAGTATTTAAGCGAGACAGATTAAAATACTAATCTTTGGTCACACTTTCTTACTGTGCTGTCCAGACTGCCAGACCTAAGCTTGAAAGTCAACCTTTCAAATAATTTCCCATGAATTTTAATGCATTAATATTCTCCTTTTAGACTATTACATCGTTTAATTAGCCTGCTTAGTTATTTAAGAACCCTGCGAGTTAGGGTTTCTCCCACTCCCAACAGAAAAAAGAACATTCACACCTCAATAATGGCCTGTACTGTGCGAGTGGCACCACATCAGTTGTACCACTTGTGACATCACCAATGGGCGTAGACTAACTTTGATGTCTAATGATGTCTAACTAGTTAAATAGGAAGGGGGGAGGGGAGCTCTCCCAGAGAACCCTTGCCTTAACCCTAATAAATCAGCTAAACAAGCGATAGGAAAATGCAAAAAAAACATTTACCTATGATTATCTTGTTCCGCTACCTATGAAAACTTCTTCGAAATATAACACATCAGGAGGCTGAAAAAGCCAGAGGGCTGAGCTACAGTGTCACTGTTTTGTCAAAACAGTCATTCCCATCACGTAACCTTGTTCCGAACTCAAAAAGCTGTTGGATTTATAATTGGCACCAGGAACAAAAAGCATGCAGCATCAATCTAATCTTGTCCCCAGGCGTTTCCCAGGGAATCTGGTAGGGAACCCCCTAGTTTTTAAGGGAGATGCTAGCGTAGATTATGATTTTACGGTAATTGGGAAGTTTTGCTTCTTTTTGGCATGATACCGAACAGAAAACGGCTCTACCAGTTTCGAAGAGCGTTTCTTTGGCAAAATATCCATGGGCGAATGAGTTAAGATACCGGGGGGCAGCAAAAAGGAAAATGAAAAAAACAAAACAAAAAAAAAACACGCGTCATGCTGAGCATGAAAAACTGGCACGGGAATTGGTTAGAGAGCGTACTTGACGTCCTCGACATGCTTTTT